CTTATTGGCCCAAAACACTTTTTGGTGATTTGTTCAACGTAGCCTTTCTGCTGAGACGGGCCCTGAAAGGGTGAAGTTTGGACCTGGGACAGAAAAACTATTACTCGTTTCTTCCAAAAGCATTTGGGTTAAAGGTATGTGCTCTTAGGTGCATGTTAGACAATGTCCACATCCCAGAATGCCATGGAAGAAGTCCCAGATTGGCAGACTGGCAAATTGGCTGCGCTGGTGGCACTTTTCCATGCTAGTAGCAGCTACGTTTACTTCCCTCAAGTTGTTTTCCATTTAGATTTGAGACAATAATCAATGAGAGAATTGCTAAGAACAATAGGGAAAAGGTTGCTGATTGTCTTAACTTTATTAGTTGTCAATTTGCAAAAGGTGTTTCCTTCTCTAATGGTAAACCAAGCAGACATGCTTACTTTCAGTGGCCTTAACGATTTCAAGTGCTCCTCTCTTTAATTAGATAAGTAATAATCAAATCCCTCCCACCCAAGGAAAATTTTGTGATAATTAATCTACGAATTAATTCCCTCTAGGAATAAAATATGTTCGTATTACTTTTGAAAATGCTGGCAGCCTTGCACCTTATTTCAAAAACCTTAAATCCATATGATTGTGAAGAATTGCTGCTTGTATGCTGGCTGCTCTTCAGTCAAACCCATAGTGCCCCCTGGTAGATGGGAACTCATTTTCGTTCACACATGGTGGCTACTCATCCGCCATTTCCTATGTCTGGGACCTAACTAAAGGAATATTTGTGGCTGCCATTGTCCTTTGAACAAACATTATGGTGTGTTTTATCTAAAAACAAAGACAATTTTTCTGGATTGTGTTTGATAAGGTTATCCATCATTACCGAAAATGATATGTTATTTTGGCACTCCCTTCTTATCTTGATAGATACTCCATTATTGCAAGTGAAGTTTAAAGGAACGTTAATGGAAACCTGCATGTTCTCAACTAAAAAAACAGGAGCAGGGAAAACAACAATGTAATATTAAGGCTAATGTCAGTAGTTAAAAAAAACAACTTCAAAGATTAAGATTGGCCTACATGAATAAATCATGAGCCTTTAACTTGGGACCGACAACTTGGCTCTAGGAAAGGTGCGGTTAGAATCTGATTCGGCTACAGTCTAGTTAAAGTTGCTTACATATGTTTCTAGGCAGTAGGCACCATGTCCATTGTCCACTGCCAAAAATAAAAGAAATATTGGATGGCATTTCCATTGAGGCTTTGGACCTGAGATTATTACATATACAACATATATACCTTTGATGACTCAACTAAGGAAACAAAGGGCTAACTTTCCTTTTGGTTTTTAATAATTTGTTAGTGTTTCATGACATAGCCTACTGAATAGAGAGCAAAGAAAATTCTTCGCATTTGAACATGGGGACATTAATTCTCTGCTGCATACTATCACCAAACTCTTTGTAAGCTGGAAGCAACCCAGAAGTTGCAATGCCAACCTCTCTTTGTCAGGAAAAAGATCGGGAGGAGCTATTAATCCCCCCAAATATTAACTAGTACACAACTTGTGTATTTCATGCAGCATATACAAATAAAATAAAATGCTACAAATTGTCGACAATGAAATTTAATGTCTCTTGCAAGTTGACTTTCCTGGGTGCAAATTGTAAATACATAGCACCTAACCCTAAAAAAAAAAAGAGTTTATAAAGCTTTTTCTCACAATTAGGGTTTATTTAGGTCAACTGCCTTGTGCAGGCTAGCCTCACACACATCTCACTACACATCATCCTTTTTCTTTGTATTTAAAATTCATAGAGGTCGCTGTTCAAAGCTCACCCAAAAACAACCATTGGTGTCCGTTAGTTAGGGTTAAAGATTTTATTAATTTTTTTAATCAGAAGAATTCCTGATAAACAAAGCATGGTAATGGATATATATATATGAATTAATTAATTAGTCATTAAAGAAAAAATTATGAATATCTTATTATCCTATCCATCTTCCTCGCCTTCAAGCTAAGTTTGCTGGCCGCGAAACAAATTAAGAAATGGTTTCGTCCTGATCATTTCCATTGAAAATGACGAGTGAACAGAAAGAAATTGGCAGGTCATGACGAGAAGAAAACACAATTAATTCTTATTTGGGAAAGGAGTTGTTTTGAAGATTGATTTCTAGCCGTCAGAAGCCAGCCAGCCAGCCATGGGATAACTCTTCGAGCAGAAATCTGTCTCATTGCTTATCCAAATATATCAGATAATCCAAGGCCAATTCTGAGATTGTTTGGTATTCTTACTAGTTACTACTATAAGGGTCAATACAACACTCTTCAAGGTTTGTTCCATTATTATTTTATATTAATATTTTTTGTATTAAATGCTGTAATTGACATTCAAAAAGTGTCTCGACAGCACACTCGCATACAAAACTTATAACATTTTGTTGTTTTACTGTTGTTCACAATCTATACCAACTTGCACCACTTGATCATCACTCTGTTTATTTGTAATGGAATATAATAATAAGAAAAAAAGAGCACATTGATTAGGGCATGAAAGCTTGAAAGTTACATGTTACATATTTTCTTTGTTTGAAGATGAGGTCTGGAAGTGGAGCTCGAGAGGGGACAGGACAGCTCAAATGCCACTGTCCAATAGAAACTGTATACGAATTGAGGGGAGAAGAAAACAACTGAAATGTAAAGAATGGAAAATCTCAGCTGCATATATATGATATTTTATGGACATGTCATTCTCCCTTTCTGAGTTGTTAGCTGCAAAACACTTGGTAGAAGAAGAGCATCCAACAATTGTAGTACGTTTCAATGATGAGTACTGAAGAATCGAAACGTTTTAATTTCCATTGTTTTATAGTTGGTACTGTTTTATGGGAGAAACAATGGGGAATCAAATAAGCAAAAAGAATTATAAAATCAATACTGAAATATATAGTTAAGACAAGAAGACAAGAATGAAGGTTATGACTATGCAATTAAGTCGTTTATGACAATAGATTCGAATCAACATTTTTATAATCATTGTCAATTTATTAATACGACTTATGCTTTCAAAAACAAAAAGCAAAGGAATGAAGGTTCATTGGAGTGTGTAGTTGCAAATTTCAATTCCAATACACCAACAATGCAAGAGAAACCCAAGTCAAAGTCTCCTTCTTCCACTCTCATTCAGCCCCTTTTACCACCTTGGGGAGATAAGGATCACCTCTCATTCATGACTAATATTTGTTGTTTTACACGTGAGATAATCAGCATATAAAATACTTACCATTTCTAAATATAAATTGAGCAAAGAACAAATCATCCAAAAGCATATTAATAGTTGTACTATTTTTATTAAAATTTACCATTAATGTATACTCTATGCTAACAATTTTGCACCCAAAGTCAACATTACTACTAACTAATTAATGATCAGTGGTGATTTTGAGCTCTTGTTAAAATAATAATTTAAAAAAATTATAATACTATAACAAAAATTAGTGTAAAACAAATTTTTTTTTACAACTTTTACTATTTTTCATGCCTCTATATGATCAAATTCAGTAAGATATAAAGATTACATAATGTAGAATAATTCCTTATACTTTATTGAAATTATTTTTGTATTAAAATGGACTTAATTCTTGAATTAGAGTACCTTTAAGTCCCAATGTCTCCACTAACATATTCTTTTTTATGCTCCACTAATATATTAAGTGCCATAATAAGAAGGTTTACACTCAATTAAGTCAAGAATTAAATCAACACTTCTTTGATGAAGGAATTTAACATTTTAAACAGTCATTGGCAACATGGGGGATGAAATTATTTTCCATGTGGCACAAAAACCCTGTGACAAACCCACCACTCACACCAAACCTTGTAGCCAACTTTGGTACTTTGCTCTTCCATCATCAAAGGGTGGGCCACATCAGCAAATTTTGATTTTGATTTTTAAGTTTTTTTAATCTAAAAATTTTCATTTTTTTCTTTAAAGAAGTATTAAACCTCTGCCCTCTCTTTCCCCC